TTTGGGTTGATTTACTAAAACTGGAGAGTGCAAAATTAGGTGCAGCTCTGCATGGTAGCCAAGATTTGACAATATAACCTGGAAGCTGATTGGCTACAGCTGCACCAGATTTTGCACTCTCCAGTTTTAGTAAATCACCCCCATTGTGACTATGGGATGGACATTCAGTTCTGCTATAAAGGTCATATGTGGCTCTTGGCAGGTGCAGGTGACTAATGCAGCCCTTTTTATTGTTGAAAAGTTAGATTGTGTAAGCCAGAAACTTCATTTCAGCAGAATAATACAGCTGAGAATGTTTAGCAAATTTTCATTTAGAAGAGATGACGAGCTTCAAACAAGCAAAAAACTGAGAATGCATCGTCTTCAAATAACTAAATGATTTTCTATTGTTCGGTTAGTGCTTTTCAAATATGTTGTCAGCATGACATGTTTTCTTCTAGTGTTACCATGGAACCTGGGCAAGATCATAAATTGCCAAATACTAGATGCTTCCAGCTTAACTCCTCCAGCCTTGCCTATTATTCTCCCACACCTTTACAAAGTCCTATCCTGTGTAGAAACATTTTAGTCTCTTCCCTATAAACTTTCATCTCCAAAATTGAACACTTTGAAGCTGCAGAAGCTATCCTGACCCTTCCTATCACCTCTTCTCCTGATCTGTACTGTTGTTGCCCATCTCCCACAACTATCGGCTTTCTCTTCCATCAATCATTTTGTTCCCAAGCATTATAACAAAGAACACATCCCTGGCTCCCTTTAGTTGTGAATACTTCCATGGTGGTGCAGACTTTAGCTGTGCAATCTACTGATAAGTTGCTTTAATACAAATCAAGTTCAGACATAAATTGAAGGAATTACTAACCAAACCACTGATCAGCAGTTAAAGTATCTGTAGCACCCAGTTTCCAGCAAGAAAACCATGCACGTTTAAAAGGATGTCAGGAATGTGTTTTTTTTCATTTAACACTCCAGCTTGTAAAGCTAGGCTCACATACACTCTCCGGCCACTTTGTTAGGTACACCTGTTCAATTGCTTGGTAACACAAATTGCTAATCAGCCAATCACATGGCAGCAACTTAATGAATTTAGGCATCTAGACATGGTGAAGATGACTTGCTGAAATTCAAACTGAGCATCAGAATGGGGAAGAAAGGGGATTTAGGTGACTTTAAACATGGCATGATTGCTGGTGCCAGACGGGCTGGTCTGAGTATTTCAAAAACTGCTGATCTACTGGGATTTTCACACACAACCATCGCTAAGGTTTATAGAGAATGGTCCAAAAAAGAGAAAATATCCAGTGAGCGGCAGATGTTAGAGAAGAATGGGCAGACTGGTTCGAGATGATAGAAAGGCAACAGTAACTCATGTGAATATGGATCAATATCTCCAACACCTTGTTGAATCTATGCCATGAAGAATTAAGGCAGTTCTGACGGCAAAAGGGGTCCAACCCGGTACTAGCAAGGTGCACCTAATAAAGTGGGTGTATGTGTAGGTTGGAAAATGGGTGCATATTCGTGTGCGTTCCAGACCCACAGGCAAAAAGCAATGCTCTTGAGCAGATGCCTGGGGGTGGCATTAATTCCTAACGGCACCCATACGCATTGGCAAAATACCTGCATTTTCATAGCACATCACCATGCGGTTCCATACAGCGCATTTTAAAAAAAGAACTTGATTACTTATTTCCTTGTGCTTCTTTTGGTTACAGCAACTCATTTAAATGCCGCAGACTGAACCACACTTCAAATTGTGCTGTATCTTACCCAACTCTGAAACATTGCTTCATATTACATACTACAGACTATTCAACTCTGTATGCTCTGGATAAAAAAAAAAAAAAATTATATATATATATATATATATATATATATACACACACACACATATACATACACTTCCGCCTGGCAGTACTAGGGTCGTCAGTTCGAATCCCAGTCACAGCACCACCTGCCTGGAGTTTGCATGTTCTCCCTGTGCCTGCGTGGGTTTCCTCTGGGTACTCCGGTTTCCTCCCACACTCCAAAGACATGCTGGTAGGTGAATTGGATCCGGTCTAAAATGTCCATAGTATGTGTATGTATGAATGTGAGTTAGGGACCTTAGACTGTACGCCCCCTGAGGGTTAGGGACTGATGTGAATGTACAATATATATGTAAAGCGCTGCGTAAATTGACGACGCTATATATACAGTTGCAAGAAAAAGTATGTGAACCCCTTGGGATTACGTGGAGTTTTGCATGAATTGGGCATAAAATGTGCTCTGAATGTCATCTAAGTCACAACAATAGAAGAACACAGTCTGCTGAACATAATACTACACAAACATTAGATGTTGCCATGGTTTAATTGCACATAACATGTAAACATTCACAGTGCAGGGAGGAAAAAGTATGTGAGGCCCTAGCTTAATGACTTCTCCCAGAGCTAATTGTAGCCAGGAGTGAGCCAACCTTGACTCCAATCAGTGTGAAGATATTGGATGTGTTGCTGACAGCTGTCCTGCCCTTAAAAAACACACACCTGTTTTGGGTTTACTGGATTCAAGAAGCACTGTCTGATGTGAACCATGCCTCGCAGAAAAGAGCTCTCAGAAGACCTACGATCAAGAATTGTTGACTTTCATGAAGCTGGAAAGGGTTACAAAAGTATCTCCAAAAGCCTTGATGTTCATGTGTCCACGGTAAGACAGACTGTCTACAAATGGAGAAAGTTTAGCCCTGTTGCAACTCTCCCTAGGCGCGGTCGTCCTGTAAAAATGACTGAAAGAGCACAGCGCAGAATGCTGCATGAGGTAAAGAAGAATCCCAGAGTGTCAGCTAAAGACCTACAGAAATCTCTGGCACATGCTAACATTTTTGTTGACACATCTACAATAAGGAAAACATTAAACAAGAATGGAGTACATGGGAGGACACCACGGAGGAAGCCATTGCTGTCCAAAAAGAATATTGCAGCATGTTTGAAGTTTGCAAAAGAGCACCTGGATGTTCCACAGCACTACTGGCAAAATATACTGTGGACAGATGAAACCAAGATTGAGTTGTTTGGGAAGAACACACAACACTATGTGTGGAGAAAAAAAGGCACAGCACACCAACATCAAAACCTCATCCCCACTGTAAAGCATGGCGGAGGGAGCATCATGGTTTGGGGCTGCTTTGCTGCCTCAGGGCCTGGACGCATTGTTGTCATTGATGGGAAAATGAATTCCAGGGTTTATTAAGACATTTTGCAGGAAAACGTACGACCATCTGTCCGCCAACTGAAGCTCCGCAGAGGATGGGTGATGCAACAGGACAATGACCCAAAGCATACAAGTAACTCAACAAAACAATGGCTGCAACAGCACAGAATACGCCTTCTGGAGTGGCCCAGTCAGAGTCCTGACCTCAACCCGATTGAAATGCTGTGGCATGACCTTAAGAGAGCGATTCACACCAGACATCCCAAGAATATTGCTACACTGAAACAGTTTTGTGAAGAGGAGTGGTCCAAAATGACTCCAGATCGTTGTGCAGGTCTGATCTGCAACTACAGGAAACGTTTGGTTGAGGTTATTGCTGCCAAAGGAGGGTCAACCAGTTATTAAGTCCAAAGGTTCACATACTTTTTCCTTCCTGCGCTGTGAATGTTTACATGTTATGTGCAATTAAACCATGGCAACATCTAATGTTTGTGTGTAGTATTATGTTCAGCAGACTGTGTTCTTCTATTGTTGTGACTTAGATGACGTTCAGAGCACATTTTATGCCCAATTCATGCAAAAACTCCACGTACTCCCAAGGGGTTCACATACTTTTTCTTGCAACTGTATATATATATATTTATATATATATATATATATATATATATAGTACACACACGTACTTTATTGCCAAAAGTATTGGAACGCCTGCCTTTACACACACATGAACTTTAATGTCCTCCCAGTCTTAGTCTGTAGGGTACAATATTGAGTTGGCCCACCCTTTGCAGATATAACATCTTCAACTCTTCTGGGAAGGCTGTCCATAAGATTTAGGAGTGTGTCTATGGGAATATTTGACCATTCTTCCAGAAGCACATTTGTGAGGCCAGGGAATGATGTCGTACAAGAAGGCCTGGCTCACAGTCTCCACTCTAATTCATCCCAAAGGAGTTCTATCAGGTTGAGGTCAGGACTCTGTGCAGGCCAATCAAGTTCTTCCACCCTAAACTCGCTCATCCATGTCTTTATGAATCTTGCTTTGTGCACTGGTGCGCAGTCATGTTGGAACAGGAAGGGGCCATCCCCAAACTGTTCCCACAAAGTTGGGAGCGTGAAATTGTTCAAAATGTCTTGGTATGCTGACACCTTAAGAATTCCCTTCACTGGAACAAAGGGGCCAAGCCCAACCCCTGAAGAACAACCCCACACCATAACCCCCCCTCCACCAAAAACTTTACACTTGGCACAATGCAGTCAGGCAAGTACCGTCCTCCTGGTAACTGCCAAACCCAGACATGTGCATTGGATTGACAGACAGAGAAGCATGATTCGTCACTCCAGAGAACACATCTCCACTGTTCTAGAGTCCAGTGGTGGCGTGCTTTACACCGCTGCATCTGACGCTTTTCATTGCACTGGGTGATGTAAGGTTTGGATGCCAGTCATGTTCCTCCACCCCAAACTCCCTCACCCATGTCTTTATGGACCTTGCTTTGTACACTGGTGCGCAGTCATGTTGGAACAGTAAGGGTTCCGTCCCCAAACTGTTCCCACAAAGTTGGGAGCATGAAATTGTCCAAAATGTCTTGGTATGCTGATGCCTTAAGAGTTCCCTTCGCTGGAACTAAGGGACCAAGCCCAACACCTGAAAAATAACCCCACACCATAATCTCCTGTCCCCTGAACTTTACACAATGCAGTCAGGCAAGTACCATTCTCCTGGCAACTGCCAAACCCAGACACATCCACCGGATTGCCAGACAGAGAAGTGTGATTCATTACTCTAGAAAACACATCTCTACTGCTCCAGTGGTGGTGTGCTTTACAGCACTGCATCCAACATTTTGCAATTCACTTGGTGATGTGAGGCTTGGATGCAGCTGAACATCCATGGAAACCCATTCCATGAAGCTCTCTACTCACTGTAGTTGTGCTAATCTGAAGGCCACATGAAGTTTGGAGGTCTTTAGCCTTCCAAAGGAAGACTCTGCAGACAGTTGGTGACTTCTGCCAACTATGCGCTTCAGCATGCGCTGACCCTGCTCTGTCATTTTAAGTGGTCTACCACTTTGTGACTGAGTTGCTGTTGTTCCCAGTTGCTTCCACTTTATTATAATAACACTAACAGTTGACCGTGGAATATTTAGTAGCAAGGAAATGTCACGGATGGACTTATTGCACATGTGGCAGCCTATCACGGTACCACGCTTGAATTCACCGAGCTCCTGAGAGCGACCCATTCTTTCACAAATGTTTGTAGAAGCAGTCTGCATGCCTAGGTGTTTGATTTTACACATCTGTGGCTATGGAGGTGATTGGAACACCTGAATCCAATGATTTGGAGGGGTGTCCCAATATGTTTGGCAACATAATGTGTATATACAGTATATATGTAGGGGTGTGCAAAATCACATAAATATACATGGGTTGGATAGAGTAAGTGTTAAAACCCCTGCCACGTTTTTATTGCTATGTGAGAGATTTACCCTTGCTATTTGTCCCAGTGACCATTGTCCACATTACAGAAAGTGAGAAAAAATTGAAAATGTTTTCACAGGACCTGGATATGAGGGAAAATCTTCCATTGAGATCACATGTTTTAGATGTTCTCATGGGAAGGAATGTATCTTTGATTTTGAGAGATTTTCCGGTTGTGTTTGAGACACAATATAAAAGGTAACCCTGCTGACAACAAAAAAAAAAAACCTGATGTAACACTCTGCTATAACTCAGATTGCAGAATGATAAAAAGAGACACAAAGTGTCTGTAAAAGGGTCCTGTAACTCAGTGCTACAATGGTGAAAAGCTTTATGGACTTTGTAGGCTGAACTTCTGGACTTTGCTGGGAATCAGCGAATTATGAGACTACATTTCCCAGAGGAGCTGGCATGTGGACGGAGGCAGAGATATAAAGAAGCCTGGGAAGCCAGGGGCAGGAGGTGAGCTGGAAGAGTTAAAAGGCGGGTGTGAGGAGAAGACTGTGCGAATGCCAGGGGACTGGACCGGGCCACAGAGTGTGAGGGTGGAGAAAAAGGGAGGGATAGCTGACCGTTGCCACCGCCAATGAGTCTGGAGAACTCCCCTGACAGCTGGTGATCTAGAGTTCTGCTGTGAGGAATGAACTCTGTAGGAGGGACCGAAGGACCACTGGGGGCCCCCATTTACAGAGAGACCACCCAGGACCTGAATGATGCCACAGATCAGGTGAGAGTGTCCCATTCTCCAGCAAATTAAGTTAACACTGACGTCTTCTCAAACCAGCCATTCTCTATCTAGTTTCTGACATTGTTTACATGTTACACATGTTGAGGCCCAGTTCACCTGGCCTATGGCAAACATATCTTCAGCATAATCCAGTGATCAAAGCCTACTGCAGAGTCTGCCCTCTGCAAGCCAAGCCACACCACTGCTTCTCTTGCAATTGGCCCACATTTATCAAGGGACACTTTTCATTATTGCCATTTGCTACTGCGGCCTAGAGAGGAATTAACCCTTACCAACAAGTGTGCCAGGGCCTGGACTTGAACCTGGGACTTCTACTGTGTCAGGCAGTAACTCTACTCACTGAGCTACCTGGGATGCTGGACAACACTTTGCCTCATCTATTGGATAATCCTGCCTTGTGCCTTGTTTGCTCTTGAACCTTGAACTCCTTGCTCCTCCCATGAACTTCCTATATAAGCCATGTCCTTGGACTTCCTCCTTGCCAGATTATTGTGCCTTTCCAGCCAATATCCTGCTACTGTTCCTGCTGCTGTCTACACCTCCGCTACTGACCTTTGACTTGTTCCTGACCACGATTGATCTGCTACCATTTGTGACCGACCCTTGGCTTGTGACCGACTCTGCTTTCGTCTGATCCCCAAACCTGTTGATCCGCTATTGGTTCCCAGTCTGCTCATTCCCTGGTGGGGTGATCCTGAGATCTGCGACCTGGTATTAACACGCAGCCCAATCTATCTCCACCATTAGGAGCTCTGGTGAATACCGGTTAATACTTAGACCCCGCACCTCAGGTGAGCCTGCGTCATTCCCAGGGGGATCCGCTGGTGTACCTATCCTGCTGGTTCCAGGTAAGCCTTTTACTGCTATAGCAACTGGTCTCTGAACCTGACCTTACACCGTGACAGAATAATCTGGCCCACACATGGAGGCCGCTATTGCAAATGCCATGGCTCCTGTCGGGCAGCAAATTTCAGAGCTACAAGAGTTTGGTGTTACCTACCAAAAGAAATTTTGCTGAACTTCAAAGTGTAGTAGAGGGGCAACAGGAAGAGATCCATGCTCTGCAGACACGATTGCTGGACATGTGCTCCCGCGATGTTGCTAATACACGCATGCCTCTGCCACTCAAGTTCAATGGAGACCGCCGCCACTACAGGGGTTTCCTTAACCAGTGCCGCATTTATTTCCAGATGCAACCTGCTGCATTTAATACTGAGAGGCAGAAGGTATTGTTTGTTATAAACCTCCTGACTGAGGAAGCCCTAGCTTGGGCCTCTCCCTATATAGAGCAAAACAATGCAATGTTAAACAGTTTTGCGACTTTTGTGACTGCAATGAACCAGGTCTTTGATGATCCCAACCGCTGCGCTACCGCTGAAGCCAAGCTGCATAGTTTGAGGCAGGGTAGACGCCCTGTTGCGGAGTATACAACTGAATTTCGACTCTGGATCTCAGACACCACCTGGAACCCAGCAGCGCAAAAGAGTCAGTTCCGGCAGGGGCTCTCTGAACAGGTGAAGGATGAGCTCGCCAGAGGAGAGACTCCTAACGATCTTGAGGAGTTCATCCAATTATGAATTCGGATTGACCAAAGACTGACAGAAAGAAGAAAGGAGAGATTGGGAAGTAATGGTGGCATGCGTTTTTCTGCTAATCAGTTCAGTCAGAAAGGATTTAAACATTTCTTCAGATTATAACACACCTGAACCTATGCAAGTAGATACTGTTAAAAGATCAATTTCTACTCAAGAGAAGGAGAGAAGACGTTTGGAGAATTTATGTTTATACTGTGGGGACTCTGGGCATTACGCAGTCAATTGTCCTAATAAAGCCAAAAGAACAATTGCTGCGACTGATGTTATCCTGCCTGAACGCATAAATTCAATTACCCAGTCTATCTCCCCATTGATCGATGAAGAAAATAAAGTTGGTCCTAAACAGTCTCATTTTGTTGTCCCTATCAAACTTTTTACTGAGGGCCATGAAATTCCTTGTTCTGCTATGCTGGACTCTGGGGCTGGGGAAACTTTATGGACATAGAGTTTGCCCACAATAATAATATTCTCAGGAGAAACAAATCTGCCCCTATTGATATGGAGACAGTTGATGGTTCACCTTTATCATCAGGACCAGTTACTCATGAAACAGTTCCTCTAGCACTCCAATTTCAGGCTGACCATTTTGAGACCATCAGCTTTCAGCTGATTACATCACCTGAATTTCCTGTCATCCTGGGCATCCCTTGGTTTACTACCCATAATCCCTTCATCAACTGGGGAGCACGGACCATAAATTTTACATCCCCCCATTGTGAGGAACATTGTAGGAAACCATGTGCTACAAGTTGTCTACCAATCAGGAAATCACAGGCTGATATGGTAACTACTAGAGATGAGCGAATCGAAGTAGGCGAAGTGGAATTCGAGTCGAATATTGGAAAATTTTCGATTCACGCCGAATCCGAAAAATAGCCTACTTCGGACGCGCGAAATCTAAATTTTTCCTAAAATGGCGGCGGACATGTGCGGTGACGGAGCGGGGATGTCTGGGAAGGCGCGCAGACAAGGCGCGCTGACCCATAATGCATTCCTTAATGACGTGATCGCATTAGCCAATCAGCAGCCAGCCAGCCAGCACTGTGTAATGGTCGAGCTATAAATAGCGGCCATTTTAGAATTCTTCATTTGCCTCCAGTCATTCAAGAGAGGCAGACCGCTCTGTATTAGGGACAGAGTTAGGGCCACAGAAACGTTACTTGGGGACAGAGAAACGTTACTTAGGGACAGAGAAGCATTACTCAGGGACACAGAATTGTTAATGAGGGCCACAGAATCGTTACTTAGGGCCAAAGAAACGCTAGTTAGGGCCACAGAATTGTTACTCAGGGACAGACAGAATTGTTACTGAGTGCCAGAGAATTGTTACTTAGGGCCACAGAAACGTTAGTTAGGGCCACAGAATTGTTACTCAGGGACAGACACAGAATTGTTACTGAGGGCCACAGAACTGTTACTTAGGGCCACAGAAACATTATTAGGGCCACAGAATTGTTACTCAGGGACAGACAGAATTGTTACTGAGTGCCAGAGAATTGTTACTTAGGGCCACAGAAACGTTAGTTAGGGCCACAGAATTGTTACTCAGGGACAGACACAGAATTGTTACTGAGGGCCACAGAACTGTTACTTAGGGCCACAGAAACGTTAGTTAGGGCCACAGAATTGTTACTCAGGGACAGACAGAATTGCTACTGAGTGCCAGAGAATTGTTACTTAGGGCCACAGAAACGTTAGGGGCCACAGAATTGTTACTCGGACAGACACAGAAATTTGTTTACTGAGGGCCACAGAATTGTTACTGAGGGCCATACAGAACCGTTTACACTTAGGGCCACAGAAAACATTGTTACTCAGGGACACAGAACTTGTTACTGAGCGGCCACAGAAACCGTTACTTAGGGCCACAGAAAATTGTTACTCAGGGACAGACACAGAATTGTTACTCAGGGACACAGAATTGTTACTGAGGGCCACAGAAACCGTTACTTAGGGCAACAGAATTGTTACTCAGGGACACAGAATTGTTACTGAGGCCACAGAAACCGTTACTTAGGGCCCACAGAATTGTTACTCAGGGACAACAGAATTGTTACTTAGGGCCACAGAAACGTTATTTCTCAGGGACACAGAATTGTTTTGAGGGCCACAGAACTGTTACAGGGCCACAGAAACGTTAGTTAGGGACACAGAATTGTTACTTTCCAGGGACAGACACAGAATTGTTAATGAGGGCCACAGAATTGTTACTTAGGGCCACAGAAACGTTACTCAGGGACACAGAATTGTTACTTAGGGCCACAGAACCGTTACTTAGGGCCACAGAATTGTTACTCAGGACAGACACAAATTGTTACTCAGGGGGACACAGAATTGTTACTGAGGGCCACAGAACCGTTACTTAGGGCCACAGAAACGTTACTCAGGGACACAGAATTGTTACTGAGGGCCACAGAACCGTTACTTAGGGCCACAGAATTGTTACTCAGGG